AAGTGTGAGGGTAGGGTGTGCAGGGCCTTTCCATTCATTGGCCTGCAAGAGGTTTGTAGTGTCCTGCCAAAGAATCCAGACCTTTGCCCTGGATAGGAAGAAAAACCAAGTAATGGGAGAGAAATCATATCAATTATCATATTGTATTGAGTTACAGAGAAAAAGACAACAGAAACCGCCCACTCTGATTAAGCATGTATCATCAGATATCGTTGAAAATACATGATTCCCTCTAGCTTTAGAGTTTCGTAATAAACAGTCTGCTTGAAATCGTTTTACATTAAATAACGATAGACATAGAAGACTCAATACTCAGGTTTGGGTGTTCGATTGGTGCAGGTGGCAGCATGTCATGATGGTTTCTCAGGCGCTCTGCAGTGTATGTTCTTTTATTTCTGACAGCAGCGACAGAATCATTCCAACAGATGGTTTGTGACTCCCTGTCCATCAAATTAATGAAGATGGAACTAGAGCCTTGAAAACTAACTCGAGCTAACACTGAAACCAAACTTAATATGGAACAAACACACACACACGTCCGCTGCTCTTGCCTGGTCTTTCAACAGCACGTCCGACACGACCAGTCAGCTGTCACTTAATATAACGGGATCTTTCGTTTACGTCGACCGGTGACTTACCGACATTGAACAACCCGCTGTGCTCTGTAACTACTAAGTTCGGCGGTGGGTGCCGTCACCTTCGCGTTTGCAGAACTAATTGTAAAACACCGTTATGTTCACAATTGTTTTCCTCACGGTCTATTTTGGTTTCTAATACAAGCGTTGTACACCCACGACTAGTTTCAAGTCTTAGCAAACCGTTAATCTTCAAGCTAAATATTTACAAGGTTTCCACCTCATATTACTGTGAGTATTACCAAATGTGGACATGGTTATGTAATTAAGCTACTTAAGATATATTTTCAACACCAAAGATATAAAGTTTACCTCCGGAATTATGAATGTCTAACTGATACATGTTTGTCAGCGACAAGCCTCTTCGGTAGCGCCGTGCTCCAGGAGCTCTCGTGCGGTCCGGTAGTCTGGTGTAGGCGTTCGTGCCATAGCCATTACTCTCTCTACTAGTCTTGTTCTCGTTATTATGACAGCCGTGTTGCTGCAACACAAGCTCGGGCATTTTAACACTAAGTGATGGATTACCATGTCCCTGTCGGAGCTAGAGAGGAGGAGCCTCCGACTTCCACGGCCGGCTTCTGCTATTGGTTCTGCGGCAATGCAACTGCCTTCGTCAGCCGCTTTCACCGCACAGCCTGGTTGCTCGGTTTGAGCCATCAGAGGAAGAGAGTTGTAAGAGCTCCGGCTTCGCACTATCGTTAAGTGGCGGTGACATGATAGGTCACAGCTCGCCTTTTGTGAAAACAATTTTGTCTGTAACTTTTGGTGATTTGGTTGAGATGCGTGTAGTTGATTGTTGAGGGGACTGGGCTAGTGTTTTAAAATTTGTGATTGTGCATTCACACCCTTAGAAAAAAGATGTTGGTACACATTAGGAACAGGGGCGCTGATTCTAGTTCTTTTTGGTGTTGCGTCTCAGTCAATTCGCATAGTTAGGTGCTCTTTGGTTGGCGGCGCATCGTTCCCCACTTACTCAGATTTATCCTCTTGCCCTGTGTTGTATTTATTTTAACAATATTTACCGCTCCTTGCTGTAGGTTCAATAATATTAAAATCAAGTAACAATTTCGATTGAGGCCTAATAACACCTGGTTTTATGATTGCTGTCCCTGTTTCCCCTAGCTGGGTTCAGATACAAAGGCAATGCCGAAATAGCGGCTGACACTGGTAAGACAGCCCTCATGACCACATATAAACTGACATGAGCCTAGAATCAACATAGGCAGCAGCGAACTTGGAGCTACTGGCTTCTGTGAGTCAGGTCCTGTGGTCCAGTAAGTGAAATTTCTGGTAGTATAAATTTTCGCCGGCTGTTGTAATTCTTCTTATGCTTGCAGAAAACGAAAACTGCCTGGTACTGGGATTGTGAGTCCCACAGCGTTGCGGAGGGTTTTATTCTGCTTCTCAGCAAAAGTGGTTTTCACTAAGGGTTTTTGATGCTTGCATGTGAACAGATGCAACCGATCTACCTGGCCTGAATGCAAAATGGGCAAATAATCACGAGATTTTATGGTAAGGTATATAGGGAAAGCATGATTGTATTTTATATCCCATGGCATAGATGATATACCGGTAAAAGTAAATTCAAAATGTTTTGTATTGCAGTCAAATGTCGGGTAATGATTCTCAATGTCCACGTTTTAACCTCAACTGTTGAAAAACTCAGTTGGTTTGCAATGTAGCTTTACCTTTTTAATGTCAGCTGGTGGTTGTTGGCTGTAAATGTGCAATATAAGATGTGCCAGCTGTACAGCTATTCCTATGTATGCTAAGAAAAATAAAAATTTAAAAAATGAAATTGGACACTACTCAACATGACGGTGAAGCAAGCCCACATGTGATGTTATGATCACAGACCTCATCTGTGTGAATTTCAGACGTTATCTACGAAATGCGCTATGCGCACAGCCACGCCACCGACCTGTCCTGTGTTGTTGTGATACCACTTCTTAGTGACGCTTAGACGCATTGTGCTGTAGTCCTGACGGGTGGCGCCGGTTCAAGTCTGCTCTCTAGTCCCACGGAAGAAAACAACTTCCACGCAGCTAAGAGGTTAGCATCACAGAAACGCCATAGGAATGGCGTCTGCTGAACCTTCCCTAAAAGGCGATATTCCATTCTGCACTTCCTGAAGGCACCGCTCCCGACAAGAAACACCGGATTCACACCAACAAAGGAAATCAAGAAAACAACATGCGTAGTAACAATCTTCGTATTTGTGGCTTCTCGCACCGCTGGAGACGGCTCCTGACACGGGATAAGAGCCAATGCGGGTTGATGCCCGAGCTCGCAACTACTTTCGTTAGCCGCGTGGAGATAGCTCTGTAGCAATGTTTGGCCTCTCGAAGCTAAGAGTATAATCAAGTCGTTGCAACGACGCTGACAAACATCATCTCACGGTGGTTCGAACTATTAGGTTGTCTCGGCACAGACGTTTTAGCGGTTGTACTAGGATCCTTGGTTGTGCTCTCGCGCTGCTGCCTACAGCCTGCCTCCTGTCATGCGTACGCAACACTTCAGTGGACGTCAGTAGTACAGTTTTCAGGCTCGCCATTTTGTGGTGAGAGAGGCGTGGCTATGATCGCTACGAACTGTGACGCATCTGTAATGGACCCACGGTAGACCTGACCGTGAGATACACGCTTCGATTCATGTTCATCATGCTGTTGCTTCACCAGCTTTACATGACTGTAGGAGATTCTAGCCGTGCACTGAAGTGCACGGAGCAGGTCTTTACATTCTCTCAAGAGATTCAGCATCCTCTGTTACCCTTTTTCAGGACCTGAGCCAGATACAGATGCCAATAACGCCTTCACTCTCTCTTACGGAGTAAATGTAGCGCGTTACTACCCACCTCTGGTCATTATTACAGCATTATGTAATATTCACTCATCAGGACCTATTGTTCAACCTCATTGTTAATGAAAGTACACCCTCTTGTGGTTGTGGAATATACTTGCACTTGCTAATAAATCTGCTATATGACTTGAAGAGCTAACACATCAGGACATTATTCCAACTAAGGACTCCACGTGCTGTCACGAGCTCAGGAGCACAACATACCTGAGCAATCACAGTTTTTATTTAACCATGATTTTACACTGTAGTTGTTGCTGTGCTCTGCTCTGCAGCAAGGTTAAAAGTTCACCACCAGGTCCTAGAGTAGAGGACTCCCTCAGCCCCCACTTACATTACCCAAAGACCATCAGACAGCATATTAAATGTGCATGATTAATTCATTTAAAGGGATAAAACAACTGAGCGGGATCCTCTGAGAAAAAAGACTACAGCTTTAAATGTTGTTTACACTCGTTAGCCTTTCATTGCAAAAAAAAAAGATTAATCAAGAGGATATAATCAATTTATTTAAGGTGTATTTAAGTAGCTTGTCCCCTCAGATTTTAAAGTGAATACAATTAAAGTATGAAATTAAGACACTCTAAATTTATGTTGATGTGTAGGGCTACATTATGGGAAATTTAAATTTCATCCTTTTAATGTGAGTATATCCATGTTCTGCGCCCAAAAACACCAGAGATCAGTCAGATATCTGGAGCGATGGTGTTTTTATTTCAACTCGGTATCTGAGGTACATATTTACTGATTCCACACAAATGATACCAGGCTACATGTATGTTCTTCACACATTAGCACGACACGGAGAACACTTACATCAACATGACAACAGACATGCACAAACAAGGCAGTGACGGGGAAGTTAGCACTGGTGGCAAACTGCACCGACCAGCCGCTAGCCCCCGAACACAAAGAACCAACCAGTCACGATGGGTGATTTCACTGACTTGACGGGGTGTGGGGGTGGGGAGAGGACGAGGGGAGACAGGAAGAGAAGGAGGAAGAACAGATGAAGAGAAGAAGTAAAGGGGGAAAAAAAGAGGAGAGCAGAGGGGCTAATACCTAAGATATTAAGACAAATCGTAACACTGAGCACCATAATAAACAATAAATAATATTTTCAGTATTGACAATAAATACCAAGAATCTCATAAATAACATTATTATCCCTTTACAATAACATATATCCTTAAATCTCATATAAGTTGCACACTCTCCCATCAAATAGTATAATTCACCTTACTGCAGTGCGCGCACACACACACGCACACACACACGCGCACACACACGCACACACATACACACTCTTTGTTCCTTCCCACTCTTCAGTTTCTGTCCAGTGTTACGAGAGCAATACTGTAGGACGGGGGACACGGGGGTCATCTAAAGGTGGTTTGAAGGTGATGCTTAGCTTGTTGGGGGTCACATGCAGACTGATATCTACAATTGTAAACTGCCTCTGTCCCACCCTCCCTCCCTTAAACCCCCCCCCCCCTTTATTTTTCTGCCTCTTTGTCTATCTCCTTTCCCACT